ATTTTCGGCTTTTGGTCGAATGTTCACTTTTAGTATGGTTTCCACGCAATCTTTTATAAATCTGAATTTTTTTTTTGGTGTACGCCATTTTCGGCTTTTGGTCGAATGTTCACTTTTAGTATGGTTTCCACGCAATCTTTTATAAATCTGACCCCTGGTGTTGTCGAGGCCATTCTAATCTCCAGGTCTTATCTGCAGACATTCTGGGCTCTCTCATACTTTCTGTTGTTGGACCAAGTCTGAGCCCTTTCCCATTTACAGCCTTCCCCAAACCCACCAGCACTTGTCTTCTCTTACTTTTCTTTCCTGTCCATTTCTGATTTTATCAAATTGAAAGATGAAAATGCAGCAGCTGCTGCTACAACCATCTCATTGTAGCAGACAATTTAGTTTCAGTTAAGAAGGCTCTTTTATACAAGATGTTTTTAAGTGTACAAGTTCCTGTAAGGGGTAATTAAACATTTTTTAMAAAAGCATTTTTTGATTTATATTGTTAAATGAAAAATATTGGCCATAAATGGATTAGAAATGTCATGGTCAGCTGCCTTGATTTCTATAGATCAGCATCGACCATAAAAAGCACCAATTGGTCAACCTCTATCAATGATAACACTCTTAGATTGTGCATTTCCATCTAAGGACATTTAATGTGTATTTTTACTTTGTTTATTTAAATAAAAAAATTCCATGTCTTTTCTGTGTTTGTGTTCAACAGGTGGAAGATGAACAAAGCTCTCCTGTTGTGCTGTTTAAGTTTTCCCAGGAAATGAGTGCTGGTAATGTTGCACACTTAACTGAGAGAAATGTTTTTGAAATTTACAGAATAATTATTAAAGGTTAAATTAGCTTCTGCATCAGAACTATTTTATTCAGTTTTATTTTTTGAGATAGGACAAATAAAATTGAAGATAGCAGCTGGAGTAGGGCCTAAAAAGTAAAGTGGTTTTCTCTGCTCTATTTAAAAACAGAAAATAAAATATTTTTTATCCAAAAATAATGATTTATGAACAGTTTTATTGTTCTTGCTTTAGTTGTCAGACAKCGAATGGCTTTATTATACCCTTAAGACTATATGTGCACATCACTGAGTCAGCTAAAATCGTCAGTGCAGCGGATGAAAAAGGCAAGACATTATTTAAATTAAACTTATGCACATAGTTTGACAACAGAAAAAGAAACCTCACATTAAGCAGCCATTTAAAGCAACTTAATAGTTAAGAACACCTTYTGAGCTTTAGTACAGTAAAAAACTGACAAATCTTAAGCCAGTATCGCTGAGTTGCAGCTTTTGGAGACCAGTAATGACTCAAAATTGGTAGAAAATAGAAAAACCTTTATTTTAACCTTAACCCAAACTCACTGAATTGAGTGTTTGCAACCATGCAGTTATTTTTATCTGCCCAATTTTTGAAAATCATGGCCTGTTTTGTGCACAGTGCCCCTCCATCCATCCAGTCATCCAGCAAACCAGTCCTTGTTGTCCTACAGAGGACAGTGACCTCATCTGCTTCGTACTCTGCTGTGAACTGTTTCAGTGAAAGCTGGAATTCATGGCACTATGACTCACACACGACCACGTCATTCAAAAATAGCAGAGATGGAATCCTAAAGTCACCAAACTGGACCCTTTCCGCCCCCTGGCTGCACCAATAAAGTCTGTTCATAAAAGTTAAGAACAACATTGGTGACAACGCGCAGCCCGGGTGGAGTCGGACCCCCACCCTGAAGATGTTTTGTTACCAGACACAACCGGAAGATAATGGATGGATGGATATATGAATGCATATTTAATTCACAATATAACATAGTAAATAAATTAAAAAAAATTTAAACAATTGTACATTTTTTAAACACAAGGCAATTAAAAGGTTTATGACAGCAACTTATCCCAGAAAAGGCAGAATAAGGACAACAAAAGGGGTATGAGTTAAAAAAACAACTAGAAGAGCATTTTGTTTTATAAGGATAATTGCCAATAAGTTAGTAAGAAGAAAAGATATAAAAAGAGCATTTTTTTAAGAGGCTGCTGAATCTCTTAGAAGTAGAGATGAGCAGAACTTCATCTGGAAAAATAGTCTGAAAATAGTGGAAATTTTTCACAACAACGCCTCTGTATAAATTGGGATTATTACATTTAAAGTTCTTAAAAAAAAAGTCACGATTCTGGAGAAATCTGTTCACGATARACAAGTGAAAGTCTGTCAGTTGAGCARTCAGTGTTTCTGTCAGCCTTGTTTTAGCTGTCAACATTTAATCTGTCCCACCGTGCAACTTGTTCATGTGAAAATGAAGGAGTGATGCCTAATTGTAGTAGATGTCCTTATATCAGGAATAACAGTTGATTCTTCCAACTGTTTTAGGAATGATGAATATTTACTGAGATAAAACCAGGTTTTTTTTTAAAGAAATGCTCGAGCATCTGTTAGAACAGGAGTTTTAAACTGTTTTAATACCTGTGATTTCCCTCGGGATTAATAAAGTATTCTGATTCTGATTTAAATTCTCATCTCCTGTTGTTTTTTCAGGACCAGTTGTGGGCTCAGTGGATGGTTTCTGTTCTGGAGAAAAAAAAGTACTGGATACCTTCAATAGATGGGTAAATGTTTCACTCCTGTAAGAAAGTTGTTGTAGATGTGCTAATGCAAATATAAAGCCATCAGGAGTTCAGAAATTCTTTTAAGATTTGTTTTGTTTTAAGAAGTGTTTTAGGGGTATAAYAGTACAAATCTGTATAAGGAACCACTGAATGCATTTAATAAATAATAATTAATAAAACATGCAGAGAATAAATCACTGGATGTACAACCTTTTGAGCCAATCCAATTCAATATAGCCACCACAACCAAGTGACCTGAAGTACACAACAATGGTTATAATTGAGCTAGTTTTACAGATATGAGGTACAGTTTGTGCGGTAGTAGCTGAAGGTCATTCCTAACCCATGCTGTATAACAGTGGTTCCCAAACTTTTTATCTTCTGACCCACAAAATATTCATGGCAAAAACTTGTGACCCCAATTATTACTGGTCTGAGTACACRAACTTTGTTAATAACTCTAAAAACACAGGCTTTTTGACAATCTAAACWGCTTGTACACAAATATAAATACTTTATTTTTACTTATTTTGTGTTTTTGTAATAATTATAGGGAAAATACATTACATCAGCAATTATTTTATTACCCTTTAAATTGATTTCTGGAGATTATCCAAGGTGCTTCATGACCCATAATTGGGTCCCAAGCCCAACTTTGGGAACCAAAGTGCAGTGGTTCCCAAACTTTTCAGCTTTTGACCCACAAAATAACAGTAGCAGAGACCTGTACCCACAACTATTTCTGATGATAAATATTTGTATCAGGTCAACTAAACATGGGCATAGTAATAATATTTTTTACACTACATTTATCCATTTTAAATATACTAACCTCACTCCTTTGTAACAACTAAGGCAAAAATGAGATTAATTCAGAAAATCTTATCAGGGCCCCACCATGATGTTTCGGGACCCACTGTGGGGTCCTGGAACATCAATGTGGAGTGCTGAAAATATTTTCTGAATAAATTACACAAACAATGACAACTTAACATTTTTTTTGCCTTTGTTGTTACAAACTAATAACATTAGTGTACTTAAAATGTACAAAAAGAGAGTAATAAATATTGTTCCTGTGCTTTTGTTTATTTGACGTGAAAACAATGTTCATCAATCGACAACAGCTGGGGGGACAGGTCTCTACTGCTGGTTTTTTGTGGGTCAAAAGCTAAAAAGTTTGAGAACCACTGCTCTAGAGCAGGGCTATTCCACAAATGTCTCGCATCTCTAACCCCTAATTTACATTACTTGCATTTTGTCTCCGCTCCGGTCCGGCCTCCGCAGCAAATATACACCCATTATAATCAATGAGAGTGTTTACACTGGCTGCGCAGGGCGGCGGTGAGCGGACGGCGATCCGTCAAAATTAGAACAGATCCTATTTTTGACGGATGCCGGAGATGCACCGGAGTCAATTTTTAAAGATTGTGCCGCACCAACAGGAAAAGAAACGAGCACAACATCCGTATTTTCAAAATAAGACACTGTTAGGCTGGATAATTTGTGAGAATAATGTCGAAATTGCAGCTTTATTAATAAATATACGGATATATTTCTATACAAATGCTGTCAGAATGTATCGTTCTGTTTGGGAAGCAGATGGAAACACGTAGCATGAAGCATATGTGTACACATACGATACACATGGATTTTATTTTGAAATCAGAAGTTTCAGAAAGCCGACAGCGATATAGTTTTAACCATAGATAACAAAAGCCTTATATCGTTGTTTTCAGCTGTGTTTGGAGTTCGTCTTTCACAGAATTAATTATTTTTTGCTGTGACTTCCACACTTATCACTGAATTTATCGCACGATCTCCTTCCTGCACGTCTGTCGGACCGGAGCAGAGCGGAGGTGGTGTAAACTGGACTTGAAACGCACAGCTGCGACCTGCGCAGCAGAGCAGAGCGGAGACGGAACGCATGTAGTGTAAATTAGGGGTTAGAAATCTGTTGTTTGTGTAGACTTCAGATTATTTTTGAATCATTTTAAAACTTGGTAATGACCAGATTGTCTTTATTGTGTCCTGATATGTAAAACTAGAATTGATAGATGGACTACTTTATTTTTCTCATGACATTTAGGTTTAAAATCCAAACATCTTTTTGAACCTCAAGTCTTTTTTTTTAGTTTATTRTTATTACTTTCATCGTCTACCACATTCTCTTCTGCTTTTCTGGATGTAGCTGGGTGAGCAGCTCGCTCAGCTGGTTCCCTCCAGCGGAGTAGATATTGTGGAGCTTGAAGATGAAGGAATCTGTGTTCGTTTCAGCCCCCTCCTTACTGCTGCAGGTAAAAGAAACATACACAGACGTGGAACACTTTCTCTGTGTTATTTATATTCTATGTTGTATAAACTTTCCCAGAAAGGGGGAAAGCATCAATGGGAAACTGTCATCATTTTTTTTTCATCCGTTCAGTTCTGGGCACCCAGCAGAAAGATGTTGAAGACTTGCTGGAAAAGCTTGTGGAGCTGGTGCCAAAAATGTCTTCCACAATGAGTTTAAGACAGGACTTCAGGGAGGAGACCCACCGCCATTCACCCACACTCAGATATGTAGAGGAGTGCAGTTGGCCTGGACTTGGAGCTGTCCGGTAAAACATTAGATTAACTACTGTAAAGAAATCAGATTTTTATGTACTTGCTCTTATTTGTAGACTTTTGGCATCCTCAAACCTATTTCTCTGTGTTTATCATCAAGCTCATTGGAAYATCTGTTTGCACACTGTCATTAGGGCAGGGCTAAGGTATTGTTGGGGTGTTTGATTGTTTTTGTTTCCCATCGCAAATTGGGGAATTGGAAATAACATCCAAGTGCAGGAGTTTAAGTATCTCAGGGTCTTGTTCACGAATGAGGGAAGAATGGAGCGGGAGATCGACAGATGGATTGGTGCTGCATCTGCTGTGATGCGGGCGCTGTACCGGTCTGTCGTGGTGAAGCAAGAGCTAAGCCAGAAGRCAAAGCTTTCGATTTATCGGTCGGTCTACGTTCCTACCCTCATCTATGGTCACGAGCTTTGGGTAGTGACCAAAAGAACAAGWTTACCGATACAAGCGGCTGAAKTKAGCTTCSTCCGCAGGATGTCTGGGCTCTCCCTTAGAGATAGAGTGAGAAGCTCGGTCATCCAGGAGGGACTCAGAGTAGAGCTACTGCTCCTCCACGTTGAGAGGAGCCAGTTGAGGTGGCTAATCTGGTTAGGATGCCTCCTGGGTGAGGTGTTGTGGGCACGTCCCACTGGGAGGAAGACCCAGGACACACTGGAGGGCCTATGTTTCTCAGCTGGCCTGGGAAGACCTTGGGATTCCCCTGGATGAGCTGGTCCAAGTGGCTGTGGAGAGGGAAGTCTGGGTCTCTTTGCTTAGGCTGCAGCCCCCRCGATCCGACCACGGATAAGCAGAAGAAAATGGATGGAAATAACATCAATCTGTTCGTCTAATGAGCTGGATAACTTTAAAAAAGGAGGAGGTACCACCTTCCATCTTGGTGTAATGGCTGCAACTAGGTGTAAGAATGGTCCATATGAAACATTGGGCTGCCTTGTCAAAATCCAAAATAACTGCCGTGATATATGTGGCATTTTCTTCCTTTTTTAATGACCACATTTATGACGAGCACAATGACCTCAACAAAGAACTGCAGTAAGTATGAAGGACAGACAATTCCTTAGAAAAGTATTTCTTCTTTTGGAACATTTCTACATTTGTCAAATTACAACCACAAACTGTTAAAAGTATTTTACTGGGGTTTTTATGGGTTCGACAAACACTGAGTCTTTACTTTGTTTCCTACCATTTCATAAGTGAAGTTGAAAAGTTTCAAATATCCTTGGATAAAAATCCAAAGCTTTAAATACTAATTTATCTTTAGGGGTTATCTTCATAAGCTAACTGTGACATAGCTACCACTTTGGAAGGACTATTATACCAAAATATCATCTACAGACATGTATCTTCTCAAAAACTATGATAGAGTTTTGCCACCCTGAGATGGACCAAAACGTGGTCTGGCCCATGGACTATAGGTCGAAGCAATCCAGAGGTACTTAAGAATAGTAAAGAGTTATTCTAATTTTGAAGGTTTATTTACTTTTGACATAATAAACTGCTAATGCATGAAGTTTCCAAAGGTTTAGATCTTCTGCAGTTGTTTTGAAGCCTTTGAGAAAACAAGCCCTTGGAGATAAACAAGCTGTATTGAACACATTTTCTTTTTGTCTCTACATAGTAACTGCATGTGTTTATAATCAGGTATGAGACACAGGCTGAAGGAATGGATGGGAGTAGGATGAAGCAGGAGCTGGACAACACTAACAATGAGCTGCTGAAGAAACTGCAAGAACTTGATACCGACATCATCTTCTCCAAAGGTTGGCACTTCCTCTCACATCTGGGTCACAGTGTGACGAACTGCGTGTCCTCATCAGCCTTTCTCTTTATTTTCTTATCATCTCAGGCTCAGAGTTTGTGTCAGAAGAGAACTGCATCTTTGTGGGCATGGTAACTGAAGACATTGATGTGTCAGAGCTGGTGAATACAATTGTTTCCCTGGGGAAGGAAATCGAGGAGAGTGGAAGGGTAATTGTCACATTCCTTCTACAGGATACCTGAGCCCTTGTAAATAATCAGAACAAGTGGTGAATGGGTTATTTAATTTTATCTTTGCTTAGTTCAGTTGATGCAGAGGCCTTTAAAGCTCAAGTAGGTAACTTTTATAAAAAATTATATTTTTTACATATACATTAAAACGGTAGTGCCATTTACTGTAGTGTCGGTATGGTCAGTGTCGGAACGGGTCAGTTCAGGTGTTTTTCCATTGACGTTCCAGTCCGGTTCCAGTGGGTGTGCTTTGGGCAGTTGGTGGAGGTGGTTTTTGGGTTTTTCGAATAAAAAGTTCAAGCGCAAAATGAGAAATGGGAACACATTTGCTGAATAAGTTCTGAAATTAAAAAAATTAGCTAAAAATTCGAATTAAAATTGGATGGAAACACGACTGTCGCTGCTACAATTGGAAAAAATGGCTCCTTGGGTTGTTGTTGTAAAGGCAGCTCAGACGCAACCAGTGACACCACCCCCTAGCCAATCAGTGACGAACAGTGTTCTGATGTTGCATTTTGGTGTCGACTGGGACAGCTTGGAACCACAATGAAGTAGGTACTAGGCCTGTCACGATAACAAATTTTGCTGGGCGATTAATTGTCTCAAAAATTATTCCGATAAGCGATAATATTGCCTGGTGACCATTTTACAACTAATAATTATAAAAGCGTAATATGTAAGTGTAATAAATCAATAAACTTTAATTTTTAAAAGAATGTTTAACAAAGTGGACTCT